CTCTTGTCAAGCTACAGGATCAGTTAACATGTGGCAGGTGTCACAATCTCTACACTAAACCCAAGACACTCTCTTGCCACCATTCATTCTGTCAGGAGTGTATTGAGGGATTAGCTACAAAGTCTACCATCACTACCTTCTCTGTGGCCTGTCTACCTGTCATCAACACACTGAGCTACCAGACCATGCTGGAGCTGCTGGCTTTTCTGTTGCACCTCATCTAGTAGAGTTTAGGAAAATCTATGAAGAAATGAAGCAACTTTCTGGTGAAGTAAAGTGTGACAATTGCTCCAGTGCTAATGCTAGTGGCTTTTGTAAAGATTGCAATGAATCTTATTGCAAAGAATGCATTGATAAACACAAAGAATGGTCTCGTTTTTCAAAGCATGTTATTCTTGGGCTAGAAGAAGCAATGAAGGCACCTACTCAATCACCAATCGACAAAGAAGTAGCTTCACACGTTAAGACCATTCTATCTGCCATCAGTGGAAGAGAGGCTGAGATAAGAGAGCAAGGAGAAGCAGTGAAAGAAGAGATAAGGTCATTCCTCAAAAGTCTAATGAGCAGCCTCCAAGATAAGTAAAGGTTATACAACGAGGTGGAGGTATCTATGGCATTTATCATACCGAGGGCCGTAGGCCCGAGGTATGATAAGGCCATAGATACCGACACAGAGTTGTATAACCAACTTCTACCATGTACTAAAATAAACAAATAGTTTACTTAGCAACAGTTAGCAACAGCAATGCATTCCCATGGTAGCTTTTGCGCGTAGCAACAGCGCACTATAACAGTTTGAAAAATAACATTATCTTCCCAACAATGGCTGTCTCTGTCTCTGACATCTCAAGTGAAATAGACAGGCAAATAGAGGAGTTTCTTTCACAAATTACGGAGGAGCAATACCAAGACTTCTTAAATAACTCCACCCAGTTGCTTCCTAAGCTCGATGGCAGCATAGACGGCGGCTCTAAATCTCTATATGGTTCAAGCAGCACCACGACCACTGCCGCATCATCATCCAAGATCTCAGCTAGCTCTAGGTTTGCTGCCCCAAAGGACGATGAAGCTGTTCTGGCAGCTCAAATGAGCGCAATACCAGAAACAACTAAAAAAGCACTGACTGGGCTTGCAGAATTTGGGAACAGTGGAGCCTCAGCAGGAAACAATCTGATTGTTCATACCCACCACCACCTCACCTATGCAGTGATAAGAGTACCCTTGATAGCTGGTTGAGTAAGTTTCTTTTGGAGATTCGTAGGCAAGATGGTAAAGAATACCCACCCAACACTCTGTACTGTATTGCCTGTGGTATTTTAAGAAAAGTTAGAAAAAAAAGTTAGTTTA